TTCACTAAGTCAAGAATGAATTTAGTATAGACTGTCTGGAAACTGCAGTGCCATTTTGGTCAGTCTTGTCAGCCCTGTTCCCTATTTTCTAAGGCATCCTGTACAAGGAGAAACAGTGGGTGACTGTGGGTGGCAGAAAGTGTAAGAACTGCTGCAATTGGACTTCTCTAGTGAACCTGCTTCCAGAGAAAAGCATCAGCTTTTCTCTATTCCTTGCAAATTTGGCTTCCGGCCCTCCTTTACCCACTTTCTTCACTGAGACCCAGTTATAGTTATATGTGAGAAGTTAGAAACTCCAAATAAGAAATAAAAATACCGTTAATGAGAATAGATGGTTTGGGATACCATTTTGAATTACTTATAATGTGGTTTTAATTGAGTTTTAAACTTTTAGCCAATAGCCAAAGCACAATGATTCACCAGGATAGAAAAATAACTGCAATAAACTTATCTCCTCACAAACTTCCTGCATGCAAAGACATTATGCTCAATTGTTATTTCTCTTCATACATTGTTTTAAAAAGTCTTTATGTTAAATCAAAATGAGTAAGTCCTATGACTTAAGTGAGGAAACTAACCCAGCCTGTTCACTCTCCTTACCCAGCTCAACAGTGTGAACTCGGATACTCTTTAGTATTCTATGTCTTGGAATTATCAATACTTGTGTACTTGCTTAGGAAATAGAAAAATCCCTGTTGGACTTGCCAGTAGATTGCAAATATATAGTTTGAAGTTTATCCTTCACGATGAAGTAATCAGAAACCAAATATTAAATATTACTAAGGGGTCTAGTCTCTCCCAAAAGTCCCTAAAGTAATCACGCTGGTTGTTTCTTATATGAATACGAATGAGTTACTCCAAATTTTTGTTCAAGAATTTCAAGAGGAAGTTGCAAAAATCGTTAGGTGTGCTTTCAAGACCATGGCTCTCAAACTATGTAGGAGTTGCCTTAAGAAAATTTAACCTCCGACTGCATAGTTTTTTCCAAGAGGTTCTAACTTCATTGGTATAGATTGTAGCCTAAAAGTTACATCTTTTCAAAAAGTACCTGCGGTAATTTGAATGTGAAGTAAAGATGGAGAGCCACTGACCTGTGAAATAAGGTGGTGAGTCAGAAAGAACATTAAGCTTTGTTTGAGCCATGGACCAGGGGGACCTTCAGCATTTTAGTAGGTACTTACTGAGAATGTATAATTTCTAGTCTCAACCCCACACTTACAGCATAAAACTATGCACTTGAAGAAGATTCCCTGGGTGGCTCCTATGCACTTTAAATTTTGAGATGCATTAAGGCATCTAACCCAGCAGGCAGACTTGAATAGTTGGATTAAAGTAGTAATTGAAAGGCATTCCTAGACCTAACCCCCTCTACTTAACCAAGCCATTTTGTATCTTGATTTTTGCCTGTGTGCTTCCCCAAGAGAGAGATATTTCTTTATTGCTGTTCATTAAGTTGAATTTGAAAGCCAGAGTACTCCAACATTCTAAAAAATTTGCGGGCAGAAACAAAACTTGTTTACTACAGTTTTTATAAACAATGGTTTTTCACTCCATATTCATATTTAGCTTGACTTGTGGGACTTTAAAAATATACTGGTTCCACTTTAGAGTTATTAAATTAGAATTTTGGGGGGAATGGAGGCCCAATACTGGAATTTGCTAAAGCTTTCTGGTGGATTTTAGTGAGCAGCTGGTTTGGGGAACTATTATGGATGAACTCTTTGATATATCATTATCTTGTTTAATATATTATAAAGCAGTTAGTCATTTTGGCTTCCCGAAAGACTGATATCAGTTACTTCAATTAATAAAATATTAACCTGCATTATAAGACAAATTAAATATTTAGAGCGTATAGGTTGATATTAACCTCACTTCACCCCTATTTATAAATGATGGTTCATTGTCTACATAAGAAAACGAATTAATGGCAAGCATATCAAATAACAATACCCACATAATATTATTATCTCATTTTGTAAAATGCAACACTTTTTATTGGGATTTGGGTTTGCCATATCATTAGACACCACAAAGCAAAAATATCTTATCTTTATCTCCATAAGTGCATTCTAAATGAATGGCAGAGACCACCATGGGGTGTTCCTTAGCAGAAGGGCTTCAGCTGCTATGAAACAGGCACAAGGAAGATAGAATCCTACAGTTTCCCAGGTGAGGCTCCAAAATTCCATTTCAAGTGAAAGGATAAAGATCACATGTCAGCCTTCAAATGGAAGTTGAAAATGACTGGGGAATCAAATGACTAAGTGAAGTAGCTGACTTACCTGCAGCAAAGCAGTCATGCCTTGCACAAGATAAGCAAGCCTAACTCTAAATGAAGCCAAATAAAGTTTTAATTCCAAAATGTATAAAATGGAAGGTATTAAAGGTAAAAGCTCCTTTCAAAATCATTTTATTCCACTTTGGAAAAAAAAAACCTTAAAAAATCTGGCTGTTCTTATTGTCTGTGCTACTGGGGTTCTACTTAGGAAGTAGTCTAATAGCCAGAACATGGAAACAACCTAGGTGCCCCTCAATAGAAGAATGGTTAAAAAAGGTGTGGAACATATACACATTAGAGTTTTACTCAGCGGTAAAAAACAATGACATCTTGAATTTTGCATGCAAATGGATGGAAATAGAAAACGCTTTACTGAGTGAGGTAACCCAGACACAAAAAGAGGAATATGGTATGTACTCACTCATAAGTGGATTCTAGCCATAGTTAAAGGTCTTTGAGTCTATAATTAGTGATCCTAGAGAAGCTAAAAAAGAAGGTGAACCTGAAGAAAATCATATAGTTATCCTCCTGGATATTAGAAGTAGACAAGATTGCCAGGCAAACTTGGGTGCACGGGGGGTGGGGGGTGGAAGTAAGGGGAGATGGTTAGGGAGAGGGGAGAGGGGGAGGATTGGGGATGGCTTGGGGAATGGGATGGGGGGAGGGAGGAAGGATGGCTTTGGGAGCAGGGAAGTTTATACCTCAACTAAGGGAGCCATTTTAGGGTTTACAAGAGACTTGATTCTGGAAGGGTTTCCAGGCCCAAGGAGAGGTCCCCAGATTGTTCCCTGGGCAGCAGAGGAGAGGGCACCTGAACTGGCCTGGGCCCATAACCATACTGATGAATATTTTGCATGTCACCACAGAACCTTCATATGGTGAAGGATGGAGATAGACACAGAGACACATATTGGAACACTGGACTTAACTCCCTAGGTCCAAATGAGAAGCAGAGGGAGGGAGATTGTGAGCAACGAAAGCAGAACCAGAGGGAACCTTCATCCAATGATGGATGGAGATAGAGACGGAGACCCCCATTAGAGCACTGGACTGAGCCCCCAAGGTCCAAATGAAGAGCAGAAGGAAGGAGAACATGAAAAAGGAAGTCAGGACCGCGAAGCGTGCGTTCACCCACTGATACAAGGGAACTGATCAATGAGAGCGCACCAAGGCCAGCTGGACTGGGACTGAAGGAGCATGTGATCAAACCGGATTCTCTGAATGTGGCTGAAATGGGGGCTGAATGAGAAGCCATTGACAATGGCACTGGGTTTTGATCCATTTGCATGGACTGGCTTTTCGAGATCCTGATCTGCTTGGATGCTCACCTTCTTGGATCTGGAGGGAGGGGGGAGGAACTTGGAATTCCCTCAGGGCAGGAAATCCTGACTGCTCTTGGGAACGGGGAGGGAGGAGGAGAGGGAGTGGGGGGAGCAGGAGCGGGAGGGTATTGGGAGGAGGGGAGGAAGTGGAAATTCTTTAAATAAATAAATAAGGGGAAAAAATCTGGCTATTCTTAAGTAAGACCCTTTTTGGTTTCTTGAGTTTTTTGTATACCAAGAAATAGCTTTTCTTTTAATGTCAGCTGGAAAATGTGAGCAAGACATTACTATCATTCCGTTTGGGGTGTTCAACTTTTTTAAAAAGTACACATGTATAAAATCAAAACTCCTCAAATTCCTGTGCTCTACAGATAGCAATGCTTCATCCAGAGTGCCGGGAGACATCCTTAGAAATCCTGACTTTCTACCATAACCAGAGGATCTTGAATATTAGTGACTCCATGCTTCATTTATGTCATCCATAATAGCAACACAAAATTTGACAAACCTAAACTTGATCTTTAAAAAAACCTTCTTCTTTTCCATTGGGCTTAGAATATTTCTTAAGTTAAACAAGAATCTTTAATGCTCTATGCAGAAAATTTGTATCTAAATGGAAATATTCCATAAGTGTTTAAAACTGATGAGACATTTAATTGAGAACTATCCTATCATGTGCACATTATTAAATTTTCTTATGAATCTTTTGTCATTTTATCATTTGCAATTCTTACAAGGAATCATAGGAAAATAACAACAGCCTCTGTCAGGTTTGGGGGGGCAAAGTAACTATCAGTGGGAAAGTGTAGCTCTTGGCTGGACATCATGAGACACACCTTTAACTACAGCACTAAGCAGGCAGAGGCAGGCAGGTCTCTATGAGTTCAAAGCCAGCCTGGGCAGCATACTGAGTTCTGAGTTCTGGGTGAGCTAGTGGTGCTCAGTAGTGATACCATGTTAAGGTTGGGAGGAGAATAATAGAAAAGGGAGGAGAGAAGCTATCTGTTCTCCTTTCTGGATGGTTATGTCTGGTGTTACTCTTATAATTTTTAGACTAAGTAGAACTTTCCATTTCCATTTACTCACATTTTTTATTACAAAAGAATGTGTAATCAAACACAGGGGCATGGTATTAACCTTGGTAAGCATGTAGAGAATTGTTTGAGGTAGATACTGATTACAGACTCCTGTGGGAAATAACCTTAACACCTTGGGTCAAGTACTTCACGGTTCAGGGAAGAATCCCATCTTTAAAAGGAGAAGGTTTACTAGTCATATTGTGATTCCACTATCAGTTCCTGTAATACTACATGGCTTAAATTATATCTGCTAGTATGGATAGCAAAAAGAACATTTTAATTTAATTTATTTATTTACTTTGGTTTAAGATTACTTACAGTTGAGGCTGGTGGCCCTGGAGGTCCCATATCACCCTAAAATAGATGAGAGAAATGTTGCAATTACCATCAGCACTTTTCTACACATTATTTCAGTTTCTGGAAAGAAGCAATAATACAGATAAACCTTTTATGTCTTTATTTATTCTTTAAGAATTTCATATGATATATTTTGATCATATTCTTCCCCCATTTCCCATTTCCTCCCAGACTCCTCCGTTTCCCTACCACAAAATTCATAATCTGAAAAGACTTAAAAATAGAATTTTTCTTGATAAAATTTTCTGCGTAATGAGAGCCTTATCATCTTCCCCTTAGGGATTATGATATGAAGATCGCCTTGTGTGCCCTTGTGCTTTCTGCGGGAGCAAAACGTGTTTTGAAAAACTAAAATAATCTAGTTTTCTATTCTTTTGACTGTGAATCCAAAATTAGGAAAAAAATTATCTTTCCAAATACGGTTACTTGCCAACAGAGCAGCTGGGAAGCGTCATAGCGACAGATAATTTTTCTGACAAAGTTAGCATGAGCATCAGCAGAAATAATAAGTGGATCCCCCCCCCCCGTGCCTTCCAGCTGCAAGGAACAGTTCCCACCACCTCTCCTAGGCTCTGCTTAGTAGGCATCACTCGTGTCTGGGGCATTCAGAGGCTTTTCCTCCATCTGAGTGTTTTCCAGGGCTAGGATAGCTTTGTTGACCTACGTGAATTCAGGCATGTGTGTTGGCTATTAAAAAGTCTTTGAAAATGCTGTCTGTAGTGAGAGTGGTGTGCACTTTAATTCCAAGCACTGGGAAGGCAGAGGTAGGAAGATATCTATGATTTTAAGGCTAGTCTAATTGACATAGCAAGTTCCAGGCCAGCCAGGGCTCCATAGTAAAATCTTGTTTAAAAACAAAGGTTTTGAAAAAGTGTCTACAAGTTCTTGATGTGTCATTCCAGTGTTTTGCTGGCTTGGGAGCTCTACTCATTTATGAGAATGCTATCACTGGGCCCGAGTGTCTTTCCTGTGATTTTTTACTGCCTTGAACATTATGGAGTCCACGTTCCTGTAGAGTGTACCATGGGGCTGTCTTGCCAAGTATATCTAGGATTTTCTCTTCTCATTAAACGCAATTATCTCTAATTTTAAGACATAGCATTGTACATTCATTATCTTCAGAACCATTTTACTAAAATAACAGTTGTTAAGGAACTTAAATCAGTCTCTAAGGATTGCTCTGTGAGATCATCTCTAACTCAAAGAGAAATATTTAAGATACACAAGGAATTCTGCATCTGTTGACCATGGAGAATAAAATGCAGACATGGGCAACTCCCATGAAATCCGGGTTGCTAACTTACCTTACTCAACACAACCCTTACCTTTAATATTTGTTAGCTCTCAGTGAGAGGCCACTACCAAAATCCTTTTATAAAGTGGTACACAAGAAATGAAGCATTTAATCTAAGGATGAGGCATCACGTTGGCTTCCTTTCCTCAAAGCCTCCTGCCTGTTCATTATGGTGACAGCTTTGTGCTGTTGGCTGAGTTTCCTGACACAGGACACCTTTGCTAATGTGGTGTTGGAACACCTCATGCTGTCAAGCAAAGGTGAGAAACAGGAGGTTTCACACGTGTGCTAATGTCAGCTATGGCGGCACACACACAGTCTCTCACACTAAAGCAACCAAAAGGCTTTCCTTGCTCTGAGGATTTTCATATAATAGCCTTCCATTAATCTCAAGATGTTTGTGCAACCAGATGTGATCTACAAGCAGTCACCCTGTTTTCTGGAAAGGTAGGTCTTAAAACAAGGTCGGGACGCTCGGGGGTAGATACAGTACCTTTTCTCCTTTTGGGCCAGGTGGACCATGAGGACCCAAGTCACCTTTCAAACCCTGAAAAAGAACATAACAAAAATCATTTTGATATAAGAGTCACCAAAAGGTTCAATTACTGACAAATTATTAGTAAGAAAATGAAGCATGTTTTCCTGAACTCCCAAATCCCATTCTTCCCTTTGTAGTGGAGAGAGAGACAGGCAACTGGCACCAATGAGATAAGCAACATCTGTGCTGCGGTGGTTTCAGATCCATTAAACCAGTGCGAGGCCTCAATACTGCATATTTGTGCAACTTTGCTTCCTGCTAAAATTACATTAATTCACCATCTGGGGGAACATCATTTAGATCTATATGAGCTTTTAAGTATCCTCTTTGGATTAAATTTGTGGGTGTTGTAAATACCTCTGATTTAGCATTGATTTAGTCTTTATAGAGCTTGCCAAAAAAAAACATGAGTTACATCAAAAACATGTTCATGTCTCTCTCAAGAAATTTAATTATTGGGAGGAGAGCTACCATAGCTGTATGCTTCTCTTGTCACTCACTGGGCTGCAACGAAGGGGAGCATCCTGCCCATCTGAAAGTATGTTTTAGTTTTCTAATTCCTTTCCTAGAAAGCTATCAAATGGAACTACATGAGACAGAGAATGCCAGCTAAATATTTTCACAAGTCCTTTGGACTCTTGGGTGTCTTAGAGGTATTTAGGTGGTGACAGCCATAATCAGTTCTGCAGTTGAATGTATTCACTGTAGAAACAGAGGACAAGTTGGATGGACACATCTTGATGGAGTGGCAAATAGGAAAGATATCTGCCATCATTTTTAACACATCAGTTGAGGGAGAAGGGATAAGGAAAAAGGAAGCACTCAGGAGTAATATTACACACAGTTTAAGTCCAAACATCATACTGTCCTAGCTGAGGAATTGCTACCCTGGCATTTTGAAGGGACTAAATTACGTACAGATAGGCATTCAATATGGAATCCAAGGACAAAGTGAAGTAATAAAAAAAAACAATTAGATAAGAACATTTTGTTGCACAGAGAGTGTGACAATCATTTCAGACACTACCACCAACAAAGGCAGGATAAAGACCAGACCTTCATTTTGTAAATCATTCAATAAAAAACCCAAATCCAAAAGAAAACAAAACAAAAAACAACCAATTTTGAAATGAATAAATACCTTAATATGTTTTTAATCATTAGTTTAGTGTTTAACGAATATATTTGAAGTGTAGTAGTCTACTATATTTTGGATTATCAATCTATTCCTTCCCAAAACGGTAGATACTTGAGAGTAAAACCTGGCAAAGGAATATCTTAATCACTTGTAGTGAGACAATTGCCATTTCTGTGAGTGGATTTCTACCATTCATTCATCCATTTATGCAATAAATCTTCACCAGGTACCCACATAAAATGTATAAGCAGGAGTAATTTTCAAGAGATGCTCAAAATCAAAGTGGTGAGAACAGTTAGTAAAATGGCTGGCACTTAACAAAGGCTACCTATTTTATTTTCAGGACAAGTAAGACATAATCAATAGTGCTTTTTGTTCTGTTTCACACTCAGGTGGACAGATATGTAACAACTGTGCTTTAAGTCATAGAGAATAAAATGCAGTTGAGAAGTATTATATTAATAAAGCTTCGACAACTACAGCCAGGAAAGTAGACCCATGTAACTCATGTCCCTTATGACAAAGGACTGTGAGGCTGAAGCTATGGCTTTGTAATGGTCTCTGAAAAACAGCTCAGTAATGCTTTTTGCAAGTATGGTTTTTCTCTTCCTGTCATGCTGATGCTGCTATCAATGTTATTGAGTGCCAGAGGGGTAAAAGAAAGACACAGTGCAAAAGTATAAAACATGTTTAGAAATGGGAGCAGTCGTCTTTAACAGCTGAGCTGTGCCTTCTAGATAGGAGCAAGATGCTGCAACCATGAAATCTCGATGTTGTGGTCTCCTAAACAAGACCAGCATAATGATAACACCTGTTGACATGACAGAGCAGATAAGGGAGATTTCAGACGGCCTTGTCTCTAGAGGAGAACTACAGCAATCAATGACTGCAGGAGAGGAATAATCTGTCTTCTTCCCCTAGGGATGTGGCCAGTGATAAATGATCCAATCCTGAAAAAAGTGGTTGACTCTAAACACATGTACATAAGAACATCATTAAATGAACATCATTAATCAGTAAACCCTCTGTATACATGTGTGTGTGTGTGTGTAAAATGAAGAAAATTATAGACAAGGTCATGAGCATGAGAGGGAGTGGTGGGGGAGGTATGAGAGAAATTAAAGGGAGGTGGGTGAATAGAAATGATGTAATTAAGTACAGTAAAGTACAGTAATAAAACTTAGGAAAGTTTTATTAATCTATGAAAACTTTAAATTAAAAAGCATAAAACACCAAATGAAATGGATACTTAGCTTAAGACTTGGACCGATATCTATTATTAAGGCTTCCAGTAATATTATTGTACATAAAGAATACTTGAAACCTGGCAGTTGTATCTACAGGAAATGTGAAGAGGGGGAGTTTTCTCTATAAGAGAAATGAAAGTGAGGGATGGCGTCACATAAAGCAAATGGATTTCAGGATTTTTATCGGAAAATACACTGCTCATGTGATATAGAATCCTTAAATATCATATAATATAAAATAATATTGTTTGTTTAAAAATTTAAGTTATTAATTCCTTGTCCCATCTACTGATGAAATCTTATTTTCTAACAATGGCAGCACCCATCACCTAATGATACCTCTGGTTTTGTGATTTCAGGGTTTGTATCATTAGTAGTGCACGTTGTACTGGTATATGGAAAGAAGTTTTGATGATTATTTTCGAAATGTCAGATATGTTAGTTTTGAAAAGTTTCAAAGATCAAAATGAACATGTAGAAGAGACTAAACTCAGTGACTGAAATCTACTTTTCTGAGATTGTATAGCCATCTGAGAACAAACTAACGAAAGAGATAACCATTAAAACTAAGTATGTCACATTTAAAAGTTTTTAATGGACAATGATTACATAGTTCTTACTGTATGCTGGGCACTATTTTAACGCTGTATGCATGATGATGCCTTTGATCCTCTCACAATCCCTGTGAGCACTAAAATCTTATCATCCTACGTGTAAATAAAGACAATGAGAGGAGAAATAGGGCAGCGTGACATGCAGTTACTGGAAGAACTGCTGGAGTTCGAAGCTGACAGCCTAGCTTCAGTGCTCACAATAGTACATTTATAGTACTCCCTCCCACGTCTGTTCTGAGATACTATTGTGGAATACATTTCATACTGGGCCACAGTCAGAATCACATCACTAAGTAAGAACAAGATCTTATCATTTCTATATTGTTTAGTATGCACCACTTAAACTGCAATGAAAATATGTTTATCAATTCTTTAGCACGTAGTCGAAAGTTCACGCACATTTATGCATGTGCACACATATGTGCATGCAGTCACACATATTCTGGAAGTTATAATCCCTATAGTGGCTTGACTTTAGAGAGTTTAAAATCACCATTAAAATTCCATACACTCCCTAAAAAAGTGTGCGTGTAATTACAAGGGCAGCATGAATTGTGACAAGTGCTGAAATACTTTGGTATGGAGTCAGGAGTTTAGCCTTGAAGAATAGGTAATGGTGTATGGCATGATTTAGTGGAAAAATGAGACCTTTTAGTGGGGCACTCAGAATTAAAGAATAATTTTACTGTTTTATAGAATAAAATTGATTAATTTCCTCATGTGACTTTTTCCTTTTGAAAATAACTTGCGATAATGCCCTGATATAGCTAGAAAATAAAGCTGGAAGAGGACTAAATTTCAATTTCTAATAAAAGTAATTTATGAGAAACATTGTTACATACCACGGTCACAAATGGCAATGTCATAAAATTCCTGGATTCTTCACAAGTAACTGGGTTTTCATTAACAATGATAAAGGGGTTATATTTTAGCTTCCCCTCTATTCAAGTACCAAGTTACATGTATGTAAGACATCTGCCACAGCACCTCCAGGTCTTTCTTCCTCTTTCATCATTGTCTTAGGTCAGGCTTCAGTTACTTAGGCATGAGACTACACAACACAGTGACCGTTTCTAAAAAAAAAAATGTAAACTGCAGCAAACAGCAACTGAAAACTTAGCCCAAGCATTCAGTAAGTGCTTGGTAGTATAACACATCTTTACTTTCTTGATAGGACTATAGAAAGGACAGAAAACTAGGCAAAGACTCAAATTGTATCTTAGAAATGACTCACCCTTAGCCATAAGGTGGGGCTTACAGGAAGGACAGGCCTTGCCTACTGGACAGGTTCTAGATTCTCCCAGGAGTCATGTCTGGGGCACTGTCTGTGAGGAGGTTTCTAGATTGGGTGAACTAAGATGGGAAGACACTAAGTGCAGGAGACACCATCCATGGTCCAGATTCCAGGACTGAATAAGAGGGAGAGGCAGCGCTGTCACCAACTTCCTTCTTTCTCTTTTTTCTGGACTCTGGATTCAGTGTGACTGGCTGTCTCATGTTCCTCCCACTGTGAGTTCCCTTTAAGAATTTGACTAGACCTTCAAACTGTGAGCCAAAACGAATGCTTGCTTACTTAAGTTGCTTATTGCTAGGTATTTGTTTGTCAAAGCAACGAGAAAAGAAACTAACACTGCTAATGCAGTGCTTTCTATACTCTGGTTCTAAGTGTGTTCTGGATTTTCCTTCTCTGCAGTCATGAATTGGTCAGATATTAATAGGAAGAGTGCTGGAAACCTCAAAATTTCATCATGTTAATAGTAAAGGTTTAAAAAATGATTTCTCCATCACTTGGCAACAAGCCAAAGAAATCACAAAAAGTTGTCCTACTTGTTCCTTCTATAACCAAACTCCTTTACCTACAGGGAACAACCCTAAAGGTATGCAAAGAAATAAAATTTGACAAATCGATATGTTTCATTTTTAAAAATTTGAAAGATTAAAATATGTACACCATACAATAGACACATTATTCAGGATTTCAATATGCAACTGCTTTGATTTCTGAAAGGT